AATTTAATAGAAATTGTATGGTAAAATATTATATTGGTATTATATGGTAAATTTATAATAGGTAATAGGTATTATGAATTACAATTTTAATATTGGAGTGTGCCTAAATCCAATGAATATTTACATTTTACGGTTTATTGGTTAGGTGGATTATATAATTGAACGTAACTCAACTGCCTATTTGTTTCATAAAAACAAATTGAATATTATGAATATCGAAATATTTGAATTATAGATAATTTATATTATTAGTAAATAAGAAAAACCAAAGTAGATCGTAAAACCAGTTCCGAATGCCTTGGACTACATTTAGTGAGCAAGTAAGGTCGTGTATGCACTAGCTAAGAGTTATCACAATCGAAAACACAATCGCTTGATCAAAATATCATTATTTTTTATGCCTAAATCGTACCTAATTTGTAAGACCCCTTCACCTGTGCCCCGGAAGTGAACAGCCTCTGTGTCATGGTCCATTCGTATAGACAAATGCAATTTTTCTACGTAATGTTATCAAGACATTCGATCGAAAATGAAACAAATATAACTCATAATAGCTGTTCTGTGTAAGTATTTATTACATAGGTATTAGTGTATAACACGTCATGTACCAATCAATTAATAATTTGATGATATAACATAGAACAGTTGACGCAGTACAACAACATATTTTGATACCTAATAACAATAATAATAATAATAAAATATTATATAATGCGACAATATTAATATGRCATCGATGTAAATAGCACGTAGTAGGTATAATAATAATTGTTATATAATGTAAATACTGCTTGCATCTACATTTTATGTGTATATAAAAGGGATGTCGGACTAACATTGAACGATATGTTAATAAGTAYCTATTAATAATGTTTGCATTAGGACATTATTTTAGGTAAATATATCTATCTACCTACTGAAATCGATTTGAACTGGTAGTTAGTTGGTAGTTAGGAGGTTCAACCTGTATGACAGAWATGRACAATCCATAACAATCATCTTATTAATTGCATTATATCGAAACAGTAAACTAAACTCGTAGGCAATTAATTTGACAGTTAAACAATACTCAGAAGTCTAGTTGATAACCGATCAAGCTTAGAAAATTTATAACTCATTTTCAAATCACTTTTTTTGTTACTCATATTTAAAATATTTTTGGTTGTATTATTACAATTATTTTATGGAGATAAAGACAGCGAACAGTACCTAAGTATAAAAGCAATAATTTAATACCGATGTATTTAACACTTGTAAACAGCCTTGGTATATTTAGAATATATTTAATAGTTCATAGTATTATAGGTGTGTACACATGAGATTAACTTCCCTGGATGACGTTATTAATGATTATGAAACAATAGGAAAATACACGAAGGTTGACTTATAACAAAAAAAAACTTGTCCTAATGATCATTCGCTATAATAGGGTTGAATGTACGGAATTTTCACCCATTTAAAAAAATAGGTATTCTGAAGTCCTTTCACTAAATAGGTTCAATACTGTTATCTCTATACAACACAATTGTTCTCAACCCGATCAAATAAGTATACCTTCTTATAAACGGGTTAAGGACATTTTTTTCATCGTTTTACAAGGAAATTTATTTCGTAATTTGGCTGCCTCACTAACTTCAAACTATAATATTCATAATTCGTATCCCAATCTGCATCATGATGTTTCATAATCAAATTTATGACACAGAACGAAAAAATATTTCTCTTGTATTAATTAAACATCATAATATATATATTYCAGAACACATTTTTAAATAATTCATAGGTATAGAAGTATAGGAACTTCATCATAATAATTAATTACTATTTCATTATTTATACTTTTGGGTCTTCTGCTATACGTTCTGTTTTCAAATTAACTATATTACAAAAATAACTGTTATGCTAATTTCAAGAATTGCTTTTTGATAAAAATATCTACGTCAGTTATAATTTTAATTAAATTTTATTTCCTTATAGCAATTTTTTTTAAACTCTTGACTGAATACACTATTTTAATATTATATAGTACACGTCAGTATAACTGGAAGAGAAGGTTAGCGCACCAATATCTTTAGTATACTAAAATGTACCCATCTTAGG